CCCAGCATTATATATTGTATGTATAATGTACTATTGCTGGCATTTGTTGTATTCCTCTATAGCTGCTGGTATTCTGCGGTGCACTGTGTAATGATTATACAGCGCAATGCAGAATACCACCAGCTATAGAGGACTACAAATCCCAGCAATAATAAATTATACATCGCAATGAAGAAAAACCCCAGCTATAGAGGAATACAACAAATCCCAGCAATAATACATTATACAGCACAATGCAGAATACCACCAGCTACAGAGGACTAAAATCCCAGCAATAATAAATTATACAGCGGCACAATGCAGAATACCACCAGCTATAGAGGACTACAAATCCCAGCAATAATAAATTATACAGCGCAATGCAGAATACCACCAGCTATAGAGGACTACAAATCCCAGCAATAATAAATTATACAGCGCAATGCAGAATAACACCAGCTACAGAGGACTACAAATCCAAGCAATAGTACATTATACAGCGGCACAATGTAGAATACCACCAGCTATAGAGGAATACAACAAATCCCAGCAATAGTACATTATACTATAATGTACTATTGCTGAGATTTGTAGTCCTCTCTAGTACATTATAGTATATAGTATAATAGTATAGTATTATAGTATATTCTACTAGTGCTGCGCTTTGTTGTATTCCTCTATAGCTGCTGATATTCTGCATTGCACCGCTGTATAATGTACTATATTGCACACTACAGTTTTTTCTACTTCCACTGCTCCAAGCTTGCTCCTGTGATGGACTACAATCTCAATACAAAACCTAGTACTCCCACCACTAGAGCCTTTTTTAATTTATTTTTTTTAATCCGATTAATCGAACCTAATAATCGGCTAACTAATCGATTTTGAAAGTAATCGTTAGCTGCAGCCCTAAAATGCATGGACTCCTTTGTTTTCCTTGCCCAGAATTTGCAAGTTGAATACCACTGAGCTGTACAGTAATTTAGTCCATTGTGCTTACAGTGTTCAAACAGTCATTTATGACTTTGAAACTGCTAATGCATTGTCATTGGAACTTATTATATGCAAATATGGTCTCTTGCTGTAAAAGGAGAACTTGACCCCACTACCTATCAAGCCTCCCTCTTAGTAAGGCCTCATTCACACAGCTAAGAGCCAGCCCGTACAGATCCGTGCAGCGTGCATGGCCGTTCCCAGGAAGGACAGGTGCTGCGTGTGATTGTACACAGACTGTTCTTCTCTATGGGAGTACACGGCCGTACGCGCACCTGAACTGCACATCCATGCGGGTGTCCATGCTCAGACGCAGACAGGATCCATCCTATCTGCGTACGAATACAGACACATGCACTCAGTACTTGGTTTGGGCCCCTTTTGCAGCACTTACTGCAATTACTTTTGCACGATATTCTAATTATTCGAGTTTCACCTGTATATCTATATAGATATATATATAGATAGATATCTATATATTAGGCAAGGTTTAAGCTTCTCCTGTTTTTATCACTGCTCGTACCTCTCCAAGGGGCTGTGATAAGCTGACCTTCCAGGTTGCCCTCAAAAGGAGTGTCAATCTCCTCTGTCTACACCCCCCTCCTCTTTGTTTTCAGTGGTTCCTCCTGACACGCTCCATGTCACAGTAGTAATGTAGGGGTCAACAAGAGGAAGTGCAGTGAGGGATTGACACTACTAGAAGTGTTGGCTTCTGAAGGGACTTCAGGTCAGGATTTCTCTTCTTTAAAGCAGCATTTGGTAGTGCGGACAGCAGGAGATGTATTTGCAGGGAGATCTATTATTCACACGTTGAGTTAATGATAGAGTTACTTTAAAGTGAAACAGCTTTACATATATGCTATTTTATGTCAGCAGTTGGCCAGTTTTAGGATTAATGGAACGTTGCATACCAGGCAGGTGACATCTATTTCCTCGTTCAACAATGCGTCTTCCTCTCTTACCCTCCCTTCCTACTTCTGATTGTCTAGTGGCCAGACTGAAGTACCTACATGTACCAACATGTACCAACATTAGCCAAAAGGAAGGATAATGATTCAACTCCTGTCCGTTTATTACTTTGCTCTGTGACCCAGTTGGGGAGATTTCCTATTTTATTTACTGCCAGGACAGGAAGTGATCAGAAGCATCTCCACTGAGGACCCGGACTGTAAACAAAAAAAACAACCCTTTTCAGTGCAATGGGGCAAGGTAATGAACTCTATCAGGGTGTTTTTACTGCTCGTGCCTTCCAGTCCCAGTGATGACTGTCATAGGGACAGGGAAGTGAGGTGAAATTTCAGGCTCATTGGCTGATATAAAAATTGACAGACATTTTAAGTCTTCCAGTGTCTATTAAAAAAAAAATGTTGACTGCACACAGATCCAACCCTGGCAATATGCACTCCTCTATTGGTCACAGAGGTGCATTGCATTGACAGATACAGGCGGGAGGAGGAGTGTGTGAGAGTCAGGTTCAAAGTGCTGGAGACTGGATAATGAGAACATGAGGATTAAATCCATATCAAATTGACAAGATGAAATATTTGTTTCATTGTGGAAACATCTCATGTAAACAAGCCGCTAATATTCTTCAACAAATATATATCAGGAAAACAAAAACCACATCATCCCTGGTATATACTTTATATAATCATTTTCTGTTCCTCACCAAGGACAAGGTGTACATCAATTTGCTGGATAATGAACGGCTGAAAACACAGTCCACCGTGGACATCTAGTGAGAAGGTTAGGTACTGCAAACGGCCTGTAGCATTCATTACATGAAATTCAGCTTCTCCAATAAAATTCATACAAGTTTTATTTATATCATTTAGAATTCATTTACTTGGGATGTTTCTTTTATATCAGATTTGAATAATAAATTGATAAGAAGATTCAACATAGAACTGATGTGCTTGTAGCCCGTATAAGACTAGAGCTTATAGTGTGTGCCAAAGGGACATATCCTATAAGGGAGACCAGATTCCTTTATGTCCAACCTCCTATAATAAGAGAAGGAATGACTTGTCCCCCTGGTGAATGACAGAGAGATACAATAATCACATACTCCCCTAAGCGTCCCCTATTAGAACTTTCCCTGTGCCTACACCTACATAAATGTCATGTAACATGGCAGATTATACAAAGTAAAGCACTGGAAACTTACATTGGATCATGGTGCTTGAGTTTTCTTCCAGTCACACAGGCTTTTCTGGCAAAGGTATCACAATGCCTCCACATTATTTTCCCACAGAAATGGATGTAGCTTTTCTAAATGCGTGGTTATATTTTAAGATTATCCAAATCAAAGTATGCACTTCTGAAAACAACAATGTTTTAAAAGCAGGTCTTAAATCTGTACTGAAAGAATACAGAGGCTGCCATTGCCACTCTCTCCTAAAAATACCAGTTGCCTGCCTTTCAATGTCAGAGAAATATCCGGAAAGAAGAAGTATGTAGATTAAGAGTTCAGTCTGACTTTCTAATCTGTATGCTTGTTCTGGGTCAGTGACTCAAAAACTGAACCCAGAGATCTAGCCTTCTTAAAATAAAAACACCATGAGCTCTTTCCCTTCAGACTCTCGCTCATTGGAATTTGGCAGAGCCCATGTGAACACAGCAGGCATGGAGGTGGGAGAGAGGAGTGATTCATTCTTCTTTCACCTGAGTGTGTGTGAATTTTGGTTTGAATTACTGAGCTCTGTAATCAGGCGTTCTTTCAGCAAAGAACATTACAGTGGATGTAAACCCTAAATGAATGCATTGCGCATGTAAGAAAATACTTGTTTTCACCTTTTTTCATCCTTTATTGCATTGCAAGTCCTGCTGATCTCTTGCAGCCTCTTTACAGCCACCGGTTCTGCCCCTATAAACTTGCCCCAGTGATGACTGTATGGCATTTCTAAGAGAGAGTTTCCTGACAGTGACAACAGTAGACAATGTAGGTGTAATTTGTGTTAAAACGTCCACTGGTAATCTCCAACAGAAGCCCCTGTGACGGGGTGACAACGCACAATCGGGAGGTAGGCACAAAGCACAGTCACCCTATAGAAGCCCAAACAAAGATCTTCATGGTAGGGTCACCAGGTATTATGTAAAGAAAAGTTATTTCAATTACAGAATTAAAAAAATTACACAATAGCAAGTTAAAGTTTACATGAAAATTTATCATTGGGTTTCCATATAAAGCTAAACTCAGAGTACAAAAACAATATTTATTTTAACTAAAACTATTTGTCATTAGCCAGAGAAGAATATGAATCTGATTTGTGTGCACTACATGCCTCTGCAACCCTGGATATAAAAGTAGCAGTCACACCATCACTGTGCTGCACAGTATGAGAACAGTCATGGGAGGTAAACAGCAGGCCCCACCCACTACAGGCTGCCTGCATAAAACTACAGGAGAGGCGGATACAAGACCAGTCACCCTGCACAAGTAGAGCGAACAGCAGTGATGGGTCTTTTTTACAGGAAGCCTGTAGGAGTTGTTTCGTGCAGGATCACTGCTGATATCTGGAAGAATTACACAAAAGGTAGCCAAGATTCTAGTAAGAATACACAAGGCTCTTGAAAATATTTCTTTAGCTCAGATTTCATCTTTAATATTTGTCTGGCAAACATGTGAAAATGAGTCTAGAGCTCCACCTGCCGGATTGATTTCAAAATGCTAAATATTCATATGAAATATTTTGTAATTACAAAATCACCAAGCCCCACCCCATTTAGAGAAAAGACAAAGATAATATGTAACAGTTTAATTACAGTTTACAGATTAAATACACATTTGCAAAAGTTTTTACACACACAAGAGGAATTAGCTTTCTTCATCTGCCCTGTGTGAAGTGGATTCCTTACCAACCGTTCATGTTACTTGTGGCCAACAGAACCACACCAGTAGGTGCTCAAGTCCTGAGTGAGAATGTCCTTGTGGCCAATCATAGTGCTGCTCAACATTGGTTTTCATTGGGAAGGATGAGAACAATGATGATTTACAACATAAATAAAATATTGTTTATGCACTTTTACAAAAACCCAGCAATAAACTATATTGCACTTCAGTCTGCGATGCAGAACTACTTAATTCAAATCTTTCATTGTCAATTGTATATTGCATGGAAGGAATTTAAAGAACCAGTGCCAGAAATAGACAGCTTGTCACAAGTGAAGCATTCGGACACTCTCACCTCCCAGGTCTCGCTGTCTCTACACTTCACACTATCTGCTGATACCGTGTATTTAGGGTGTGACCAGAGACACTGGAGACTACTGTTGACTACGAACACGGCAAAGGTGCACTAGATCAATAAGATCTTAGTACGGGATGTCATTCTGGTAGTACTGGATCATATCATACGTTTTGCTCCTGTAGGATTAAAAAATAAAGATACTGTCATATAGAAAATAAAAACATTATGGGGTCTATTCATAAGCAATTCAAAAAGGCTATGCGCCCTGCGAATCTTTGTGAAGATGTGTTCTGTGTGAATGGTGACAAAAACGAACGTTCTCAGTATATTTTCTTTTAGGGCCTGTTCACACGACGTCCGTTTTCTGTGCTGACCTGATCCGTATGCTCCTGCACTAAAAATGCATCCCAATGAATCCCTATGTGTTTTATGGGCTACAGTTCTTACGTGCGCAGTCCGTTCAGGTTACGACAGAAAGAATACTGCATGTTACATTTTGTCCGGTCAGGAAACGCACGAACGCGGCAAAAACGGAACGCAATGCAGCTAAGCAAAAAAGATAGACAGACAGGTTGGGGTAGAGGTAAAGACATGAACTGGAAACATTTTGCACATGCCCATTACCTTTCCATGGACATACGAGTAAAGGAAAAAAATTTATCCGGGTGAGCTCGCAAATCCTCATATAAACTCCAGAACTGACACTTGGAGTCCCGGAGCATCAAGATCGGGTGTACCCAATAGCGATGTCTCCTGCGAGCTCGTTCTCTGCAGATTGCTGTAGCCAGCACCATCAACATGCCTGCAAACATGTGATACATGTCTGATCACCAGCTTTACATACACAAAAGGGAAGTTGATGTTACAAGAGGGCAGAAGTGACCTCAGAGGCTGAATCTGCATACTGACAGCCCCATGGCTTGAGAAAAAAAAAAAATATGTCAGCATCCGGACCGAAAACGCATCAAAAACGCACTGCATGAGTAGCTCCGCGTCTGCAGATCCGCACCTGATCCAGACCAGAAAATCATGTGAACAGGGCCTTAAGGTCAAAAATAACAAAATTATGGCCACTAGGTGGAGATGTGGAGCATAGCACATATATAATAGACACTAGCTCCATCTAGTGGGCATAACGCAGTACTTTCTGAATAGTAAATTTGATTACATTCAACCAGACAAGAAAATACATACTCAGAACCTTTGTTTCTGCCTCCATTCACACAGAGATTCACAAATTGTTTATAAATAGACCCCTAAGCAGCTAGGCAAGATTGTATAGCAGTAATTTTCAAACTGTCACATTCTCCTACATTCTTCTCATAGATGACATCAGAAAACTAAATATTTTATTCAAGTTAAAAAATGTAAGAGGTGGAGGCTTAAGACTAACCTGTAATGAGATTAAGTTCAGTAAAGTAACATCCTAATAGAAGACCAGGGACCATTACACTCTGACAGGTACCATCAGCACCTCACAACAGGGTTCATATCAATTCTAAGTGGCATTACCAATACAGAGATAACAGAATGAGGTTTAGCTCACGATAAACTGATCAACTGTTATGTACCTGAGCTATGTAAACTAAGGAAACCATCATTACTTACAACAGGGACATCACAAAACATCATTAGACGTCTATAAATAAAGCTGGCCATACACTGTTATATCCCTCCATCCACCCCTACACACACTAAATAGCATGAATGGAAAAACATATCTTGCTTAGTCCTTTGTATTCTGACAGCAGCGAATGTGCCGATTGGCTGCCGTTACTGTGCGCCCAAAGATTTGTTTTATCTGGCTCCTTCGATTTTCTGACAGGGTGCCGACAGGGCCACCCACTGTGTTAATTTCAGATGGTTCATCAAGAACCGGCTGAAATTCGCACCCTGTATGGCCAGCTTAAGCTATCATAGTGTTATCTGCCATAATTGTCCTTTCCATCCCTTCACTGCTGAATGTAACAATCATTATAGCCAAGAGACTTGAGCGTTTTCAGGGATGGTAAAAGAGAGATTTCAAACCTGTTGCTCAGGAAGCAGTTCTGGATAATCTTCAGGATGAAATTAGCTGCTTCTCTCTCTGTCATGTTGGCACTGAACCTGTGCCTAGATTTAAAACATAAAGGGAGATGTGACTAAGAGTCTAACAGAGAGACCTCCTGTTTACTGAAAATTAGAATGCAACCAGAAACTCACTTTAGCAACTTGATGGTCTGTCCACGAAAGCAGGGTAGTCCTGTATCCAACATGAGGGTGACCAGTGATACTACCGCATCCATGTATGGCCTGCAACACAGAGTATGAATTAGTCATTCTAAAACATCTCTTCTGGAATTCCAAAGTTAAACAGTTACTGCTAATTGGAAGGATAGGGGGGGGGGGAAGAGATCTTTGTGTTATACGGGATAAACTAATAGGATAAAGCTGGGCTTTGGCCTTTGTGAAGTATAATTGAAGACGAGGGACTGAATGGCAGCACATCAAACTACCTTGCTGAGGGGTGCACAGTCTTCACTTACACAAAGGGGTTTTGTTTTGGTGTCAAAAAGCCTTAGTAGTTATAAAATGTTTAGGAACTGCAAATATGGTTAATAGAAATATTCAGGGGTATGATGTGGGGAGCCGACAGCTGCCCTTAAGGAAGAATGGGCTGCCTCCTGGCGAACCTGCACCCAATTCATCCTTTGCTACATGTGTTCCAAGATGGAGACTCTCACAGATTAAAGTTAGGACCACACTACACAGAGGGGCCTTGACAGGGCAGTGTGGCTTTCACATATTTTGCAAAAAGTTGTGCAACTTTTAACCCCAATTGTTAGACAATGTAATTTGTTCTTTTTTTTTTTTACAGGGTGGCTGGTAAGTGTGCTGGGAAATTTTTGTTTTTGTAACATCAGCTGTCTGGGTGCAGAGACAGATAATGTGTAGTAAGTGCAGTAAGTGCAGTATCCAGCATGCTCTAGCATTGTTAGGACTGATTAGGATAATGTGTAGAGATTTTTCCCTTTTTCTGCCTCTGTTTGGTTTACTGATTCATATAAATCAGATTGAAAGGTTCTGACCAATAAGAAAAAAAAGGAAAATAGTCCTCACCGTACAGCCAGGTAGCCACGCACACACATCTCCATAAACCACTTAAAAGGTGTAGCTTCCATTTTGCCCCCCATGATCATCACCATCTCATCAGTCAGCTTTATATCAGGTTCCCATCCAAGATTTCCTCCTGGAGAGCTCTCAAACATAAATCCAAAATCTGCAGGTAGAAGAAGTAGCAACTCAACAGCGGGCAGCATATGGAGGACCCATTCTTAACATTTAAAACTCCATGCAGTCCCAGTGCAGTTCGAGGCTGTATCTGTGCAGGTGCTGCAGCCCATTATGGTGCATCTGCGAGCACTTTCCACGCACTGAAGTGTGTTTTACTGGCATTTGCTTGGAGGGTTCTTAAAGGAGAACTATGGGGTTAAGGCTTTTCCCCATAGTTCTCCTTAGGGTAACGGGAGGACACAAACTAGCGTCCTCCCGTCACCCTAGGCTCAGTATACCGCAAGCTGTAGCTCGCTGTATACTGAGACGCCGCAGCTGAAGCGGATACCGACAATTATGTCTGGATCCGCCCAGCTAGAGGCAGAGCCAGCTGTACCCGCAGTCAGCGCTGGCGGATCGGAGAGGGGGGAATCCAGCCCCTCCCCTGTCACGGCAGAGAGCCGTGACAGGATCGAGAGGTGAGCGAACGCCGGTAAGTGTTCGCTCACCTCCCAATCTACTGAGCCGACCTGTGACAGTCTCATTGTCACAGGTCGGCTAAAACTGAAAAAGCACTCACCTCATAGTTCTCCTTTAAATAGATCAAATATGGGGAAATGTACTTGTACTGCAGAGTTTGTTTGCTTTGACATACACTTTAAGGCAGTCAAAAAGAAGCATGTAGAAGTGTTTTTTGTGCCAATGTGTAGATGTTTATTAGCGATGGGGATATGCCTTAAACCACAAGAAAAGAAAAGGAAAAAATATATACAGGGTTACAGGGGTAAGCCAGGACAGGCACACACAATAGAGCTATATAGCTGCCCAAAACTGGAGCATTGTGCAATCATACATATTTTATCCCTTTAGCCATTGAGTACTTCTCACAGCAAGTGAACTACTAAACAAATCCAATGTAGCTCTAATTATCAAGAGACAGTGGGGACACACATACAGCTGAATGAAGGAAATATAAATCTAACAAGAACTAACCGATATGAATGATATGACCCTTCTTATCCAGCATGATGTTGCCATTGTGTCTGTCTTTAATTTGCAACAGGAAGAGCAGGAGGCTGTAGGCTGCCATGCTCCTGATGAAATTATATCGGGCCTGTGAAAAAGAGAACAAACATTAAATCTATGTTACAGATTGCTACATTGTTGTGCTAATATAAGGAGCAAATTTTTAATTTTAGTGCATGGTGGATACCTCAGCACCCAGAGAAAGCACACAAATTTGAGACATGTAAATTACACACAGGTAGCTTTCTAGTGGGTTCCAGGGCATTACTTCTGTACAAGTAACCTTAGCTGCTGCATCAATTTCACATGTACATAATCCCCTTTAGATATGAATATAACACAGGTGAGGGGCCCACGGGTGGCAGTATGACAGGTGAGGAGCACATGGGTGGCAGTATGATATAAATGAGGGGCCCAGGGGTGGCAGTATGACAGGTGATGGGCCCAGGGGTGACAGTATGACAGGTGAGGAGCCTATGGGTAACAGTATGATATAGATGAGGGGCCCAGGGGTGGCAGTATGACAGGTGAGGAGCCCATGGGTGGCAGTATGATATAGATGAGGGGCCCAGGGGTGGCAGCATGACAGGTGAGGAGCCCATGGGTGGCAGTATAATATAGATGAGGGGCCCAGGGGTGGCAGTATGACAAGTGAGGAGCCCATGGGTGGCAGTATAATATAGATGAGGGGCCCATGGGTGGCAGTATGAATGGTGAGGAGCCCCTGGGTGGCAGTATGACAAGGATTTCAGTTACTTTCGTTTCTACTTATTCTACATAAGCTCCAAAATGAAGGGTATCTAGAACTTTCCCTAATAATCCTCATTTGGTCAACAAGTCATATATATCTGTGGTCGTTACAGCAGCTTCTATCTAATGACTTGGCTATGTTTACAACAGATATTTCTATTAGTCAGATGGAAACTAGTGCAAGCAGGAGTAGCCACATATCACTAACAAGCCACATACACAGTTCAGCATGTCTGTACAGGAGTATAAACTCTTAATAAGAAGAAATGAAGTAGTCACCAGTGCAATTAGATGAAATATGTACGCATGAATTAAAAGCATAGTCCCTTGTGACTTTTAGGACAAAGAAAACGTCATGGGAGAAGATTTAGAAATGAATGTATTGCAATCTTTAACCCAGCACAATTAAAATAACAAGATGATGTAGAAACTGTACCTTCTGAAATGCGAGGGTAGACTCATCCCCGTACTGGCGAGTGAAGTAATCATACATGCCAAAATCTGTCTGACGGCCCAGCTGATCCCTTGAGGTGCAGTCTGGAATGCACTCGATAACCCCACACTGCAATACAACAAAAAGTTGTGACTTTCATTATATTTACACTGCTGAAATTCATGTTTGCTAACCACATGGATGCTCCACAACAAAACTTGAACAATGTTATCTGGATAGATAAACAAAGGCTGCTGTTGATGTACATATTTTCTTCTGGAGTAATCAAACACTAAACATCAAAATCTCCTCCTAACGTTAAGGCAATGGTTGTGGGAGTACCATTCATTGGGGCTACTTTACTGAGCAACATGAACAGCTTGCAATCATTGAGGAGCCATACAATTTAAGCTGTATAGGAAATGCTACAAGTAAATGTCAGGACCTATTGCCCTAAAACCCAAAGGCTTTGTCATGTAACATGACCGCCATCCAAAAACACAGGATTAGCTCTTGTTGGAGTGGCTCACACAGAATTCTGTATTTTAGAAAGACCCCGAAAACATTTCTGTACACAAGAATTAGCTGTGATCAAAAGTTGGTTGAGATTACTGAAAATAAAGCAGATTCCACTAACTACTTAACATAAACTAGGTAAGCGGTTGCCTACGGGGTTTTTTCTCATACTGGCCAAAACGGCAGGATTTGTAGAGTTGAATTTGATGGAGACAGGTTTTTTTTTGACAACAGTTTTTCACAACATGTGTAGGTACATCACCATCAAACCCTACTCAATGTCAGAGTGCCATTTGTATTATTTTATTTCACCAGATGTCAACACTGCTAGCATTCTTCAAATTGTCTACTTCAAAGTACACATGTCCAGACCATGGACATTAACCTCCCTGGCGGTATGATTATTCAGGATTTTAGGTACCAAAAGCGGTACATTATTTTTCAAGCAAATATGTTGTTTTACATTGTAGGCCTGTAGTTCTTAGTAAATCCTAGGAATAACTCACTCAATAAATCTGTCCAAACAAGAGTCCAGTAGACATCACGGGTATGATAAAGTTTGAAACACGAAATTAAAAAATTATAATATAATAAATTATAAATAATTATAATCAGAATTCCCATTTACTGGACCATTTTTTAAATTATTTTAGTATAATTTTTTATAATTATTTATCATATTATAATTTCTTAAAAATGTGAAAAAGTGTCAGGCAGGGCACTGGACAAAGCTCTCGGGACAAAATTGAAGTGAAATAGTTTGATACATAAGTGTAATCATAGCAGATTACATTGTATTGTGTGTATTCTGTGTACATTACAACTTTTCACTTTTGAATTTCCCGCCGGCTGTGACGCTCGAAAACGAAACTAAAAGTCAGATGCCGGCTTTTAGTTTAATTTTCGAGCCGCGTACAGCAGAGGACGCCGCGGGATCGCAGGGACAAGGTGAGTGTCACTTTTCTGTGCAGCCCCGAGTCTGGCTCGGGGTTACCGCTCCTAGCATTGAAAATTCACCCCGAGCCAGACTCGGGAATACCGCCAGGGAGGTTAAACTACAGTAAACTCCCAGTTATCAGGTACCCATGGGTAGATGCCGAATAACTGTAGTTTCTGGTTGCTTGAGAGTTACTATTAACTCTCAAGCAACAACCCCCTCCCCCCCCCATTCATCTGCAGGCTAGATTCTGCTATTGGCGATTTAAAAATTGCCATAGCCAATAGCAGGATGGCTATTGCACACGCCTGCTGCCCGTTGTTTACATTCACCTGTCAGCTGGGGAATCTAGCTGTCGGCTGCAGCAAGAAGTCATCAGAGAATTTCAATAGAATTATTTAGTCTGCACATGTCTATAAAGCAACTGGAAAAGAAAATTGTGGACATATGTCCTTGATTTTTTTTTCTGGTTCCTTAAGAGTTCTGGTTGCTTGAATGCTGGATAATGGGGAGTTTACTATATTTACTTTATGCTCAACAAGCTGTAAAAAAAAGCTTTACAACAAGCCATCCCTGACATCTCTAGCTGCATGCACTGTAAAGTGATTCATTCTCACAGATCACAACAAAGACCTCCATAGTCTATTACAGTGGATTTCTAACAGCTTAGAAACACCTGCATGATATTAACATTAAAAGGGCTGGACCTGCCAAGATTCTACTGAAATAGAAAAAAAGAGTTAAGCTTTCATTACATCCGTTGAGAGATTTCAAGATGAATTTCTTCACAATGCCAATAGCTACAGGTAAAAGTACATTTACTGCGTATTCAAAATACCCAAAAGGTTTACTTTAACATATACAAGCCAATAGAACAGATTCACTATGTCCCATGTGGTATCTGCCTGTAGAAGCTGACCCTAGGACAAGTATCTCCTCCTACAGATCAGTTTTGCTGGTGCACTGAAATCATAAGTCCTGCAATGCCCCACCTACAGTCTGGGTGAGCATCGGTGGCCAGCGTCATACACTTAAGGAAATATTATAAGGATTTCTTCACTAAGGCTGAGTTCACACCTGGGCGTACCATAGGCGCGTTTTTTAGCATGTTTTTTCGTTCAGTGAAACACGTGTTCGACGCGCGTTTTTATACCTCCCTGGCGGTATGATTTTTTTTCCCCTTTCTTTTCTCTATCTTTTTTGTCGTTTTTTAAACTTTCAAAGTTCCCGCCGGTTCCGCCCCCTGCGACGCGGAAGTCGGCAGCAGCAGGAGGACACAGCGCACAGCGGGGATCGCGGACAAGGTAAGTCCTACGCTGTATTCCCGAGTGTGGCTCGGAGTTACCGCTTTGTTAACCCCGAGCCACACTCGGGAATACCAATGGATACGCGCTGAAATACACCCCAAAGAAGCTCCTGTACTTGTTTGGGCGTAGGGAGTTTTTCAGCGCGTTTCCACGGGCTGAAATATGCCCAGGTGGGAACCATGCCCATAGGGATTCATGGGATTTCACTTGCTGAGCGTTTTTTCAGCGCTTCGATCAGTGCTGAAAAACGCCCAGGTGTGAGCCCAGCCTAAAGTTATGGCAATGTAAAATGTTGTGTATTTGGCAAATAAAACAGTTACTGTTTATTATGAATTACATGAAGACCATATCACATTTTGGGAACCATTCATGCAGAAAATGATACAAATACAAAGTTTTACTCACAGCTTTTAGAACACCTTTAACACGTCTCGGATATAGATTTACAAAAAAATGGCTTTTGTTCCTCTCTTAAAAAACATGCTATATATTTATCTACTAAACCGATCCAACCTGGATCATCATCTACTCACCCCAGGAGCGGTCGCCACCACTCTATATGGAAAGACAAAGAGGTCAAGTCCAACGAGTTGGAAAATGTTCTTGAATAAATCTATGATCTGCAGAGCCAGCATGTCCTGTGATAGGAGGAACAAGTTACCAGATCATCATATAAAACATCCACTGATCAATCTGTATGTCTATTATAGCTCTATTCACAAATTATGTCTCAGAAATTGTTATTTTGATTTGGTTAAGATGAGGACAGTACACAGTTGGGGAGTACAGCTTTTTGATATGCAAGGTAAGGCAGACATTTTAAAAACCATTAACCTTATTAACCCCTTCAGTTTCTGTTCCTTCATAACTGAAGCACTTTTTACATTTTTGCTGGGTAATTCTTCCACGACAGTAATATACTTTCTTATGAAGTGCAACCAGATATTATATATTGTTTTTTAGAGGACATATAGGGCTATATATTTACATCACATATGTATGTCACTATGACTGCTTGATAATTTTAATTCATTTGTGGTTATTATTAGGCTGCCTCAAACTAAGGGACAGCCAATAAATAACCTTAGTGACCCTGTTCAGATGTCACTAAAGACTACTGATTGTTGTGGCTGGTTGCCACAAAGATCTGAAGCCTGAAACGGGCAGCTTTTGGCTTTTGCTGAATGCTTTTATGCTGAAGTGTTCAGCAAAATGCCGGTACACACCGGAATTTGCTAATACCGAAGTGTACCTTCTGCCTAACGGTGATAGGAAGTGTGGTTCACACCACACTCCTTTCACCATCAGACACCTGATCACTGAAAGTGATCTGGTGTCTGAAACTGCTCAACTCCTTCATTAAATGGTTGCCTAATGATCTAAACAGTTACCGGCATTCAGGAGCTCTGAATAGCTGCTCACGTATAGTGTACATGAGCAGTCATTTGGGCACTTAAGGGGGTTAAAGGGTTAGGCTAACCAAAACCTTTTCAATTTTTGGCAGATGCTGGAAATTTAAATCACTTAGCAATGTCTCGAACCTCTGAGGGACTCTACTGTGAGATATCCGAGCTCATGTTTCTGGTTGGCCTACCTGCTCTGGCAAAGAGCGGATTGGTCTACAGCTATTGCTCACAGTCAGTGACGCTAATAAAAGTTACTTTCCAGTTACAAATGACATATATTTGCTGTTGCTGTAACAACTGACTACAGCTACCTTAGCAGTTTGCCTGTTTTTTGGAATTTAAAAAAGAACTATGGCCAAACCTGACAGTGCAGATGTGTGCTGTGGCCAGGAAAGATCCTGACAATATTTTTGGGATCCACCCCACTGCCTGATTGACAGCTGGCTCTGCCACTCTAGAGCCAGAGCTAGCTGTGCCCGCCCCCTACCCTTCTGTCCCTCCCGTCAGCGCTCAGGCAGTCTGCATGCTAATGCACTCTACCTAGGAACACCCACTCTTCCAGACTGACATTCACCCATCCTCCTCCCAAGGAGCACAACTCCCCTCAAGAGCATCAGGGCTGATGGCTCCTGAGAGAGGAACTGAGACAAGGTGCTGTGATGTTTTCAGAAGTTATTTAAAGCACTCTGCTACCCCCTCCCACTACCCATGGTTTGCTTGCGACAGAGACATAGGGATGACATCATTGGGTCTGAAATAAGGTATGTTATAGAAAAGTTTTTACTTTATTCATTAGCATGTTGATGAGACAGGGAAGAAGTATCCAGGAAAGGTAATACGGTATATAAGCCGATAAAGCAAAATTGTTCCTTAGGACGTCCGGACCGGCAAAATGTGTTGGGCGGGACAAATTATGTGCGACGCCGACACGTCTGTGAAGGGTGGGGCTACCTGGACAAGAGAGTCAGAAGCAACTGGTGGTGTATCTTTACCTCCACAAGGCTATGTGTACATTCCTTGGTGCAGGATATAGCACACACAGATGTGAGTGAAATGTTTGTATGTGTTTTTAATGTATTGAAGACATTTTATGTGATGTACAAATCCCTCTTTCCTTGTCTCTTATTGTTGGGCTTCTGGAGGTGTTTTTAGGAAGGATCTGCCCACCACTACTTCCTAAAGGATCCTATGTACTGGGAAGTGTCCTTTTATCAAATACCAATCTTTTCATCAAGCTCTTAAGACCTTCTTAATTTTAAGGGGCCCTACACAACTGGTGAGTGCGTCTTTTACATAGAGGAGGTGAAGAGCACTTTGGTTTTGGCACAATTTGTGAAGATTTACACAGAACAGCACTTTACACACACAGTGGAGAAAGACTATATTTACATTGCATATTATCTCCTGCTATATAGTTTAATTTCTTCAACATATGGATTGTTCTAATGTGAATTTGTTTGATTGAGAAGACAGGTTTTCACATAATTGCATATTTATAAATCAATAGCGCTGTATTAGCGCTGCTATAATTGGCTCAAGTCTGCCCATATCACTTCCCCTGCACAAGTGCCATTGCCTTTAGTTATTCCAAAGGAAAGTCTGTGCACCACCGGGCTGCCCCTAGGTCTATTACGACACTAGCAATACCCCTATGCAGCTAATCTTTTGTACTCACTTGTCTGCAGTCATCGCCAACTTTAAATATGGCCGCCTGCCAGCAAATCTTTTTATCACCACCTTCCTCTTCGCTTTCATCAATGGAGTCAGAGCGGCAGCGAAGGCCTGGGAGAGAGAGAGAAAGAGGGTGAATTATGCATGAGTAGAAGTGTATGAGATCTACACAGGTAGCTGTTGTAACTGGCACCTACCTTCTTTCTCCAGCTCACTTACTCCACATCTCTTCACCTTGAACTTTGCCAGATATGGAGCTTTTGCAGCACTGCAAATACAGGTCAAGAGTAATTGTTTTTTTAAGGGGAGGACACAATAATCTATAGTGTAATCAATTCAATGCTATTTTAGATATACTTTTAAAAGAGATTATCTGGAGGGGAAAGTAATCTTATCAATATGTGTTAATGTTTTAAAGACCTTGTTTCTAAGCATAATTTGTAATTCTACATGGGGCAGCCATGTTAGTTCTGTCAGCCAGACTCAAAAACAATGCACTCCCTTGGGGCTAATTCGATTCAACAGTTAATTAAAAGTTAATAAGAGTCATTGTAGAGGCTGATCTATCAGAAATCTAAAGAGCTCTACATTTGATACAAAGACAGTAAACAGTGCAATAATACCACAAAATACCAGCTCACTAAAAATACCCTATACAGGCCATCTTTGTATAGGATTTTAACAAGAACAAGCAGTGCTGTTAGAAGCTTCGATTGCTTTTTGGGTCTTTGCCTTGCTTCACAATTAAAACAATGAATGCCTCTTGCATTGATAATGGCAGCTCACACATTTTATTGGCTTCCTCATAAAGACAGGGTTGCTTTGTATACATTTTGTGCTGCTGCGCAAGAAAACCATCCAAATCTGGTCATTTGTATTTGACAAAACTAGAAATGGTAAATTGTAATTCAACAATGCTGAAGGGATAATCTCCTGGGTGTTAATTATAAATAGATTTTTGATCCAACCTATTATTCAAGCATATAAATGACATATATTCATATGAATGAATGTGACTGCGATAGGACAAGGAAGCAAACTCCCTGTCTGCATAATAGCATAACTTGCTCAGGCAATAATGACAAACACACATATGGAAGGATAACATGGATGTATATAGCTCACCAACCTCTGAAACATTTCTATTAACACGATAATTAAGCTACAGTGTTAATTATTGAATAGACTGATATAAATCTCTAACAAAGTAAAAACAGTGAAGCGCCACGGACTGTCCATCCTTAGTGGGAAATCCTCTTAGGCATACTGCAGGATGCTGCCCCAAAGAAGCCGGGAAAGCTGAGAATCTAGGAAGTAAGCACAAGAGGGGCGCCTTTCCTGGTGCAGATCAATTTTATTTCAGTAAACATGAGTAAAAAAACGAATAATACTCACAAACATGAGTGTTACACAGCCATGGGATAAGAGCTGACAAGCAGTAGGATGTCCACTAGGCGATACCAGTGTGTAGAGACGTTAACGCTTTTCCAGGGCACGCCTCCCTCCATCAGCGAAGGGGGCGTGCCCCGGAAACGCGTTAACGTCACTACACACTGGTATCGCCTAGTGGACATCCTACTGCTTGTCAGCTCTTATCCCATGGCTGTGTAACACTCATGTTTGTGAGTATTATTCGTTTTTTTACTCATGTTTACTGAAATAAAATTGATCTGCACCAGGAAAGGCGCCCCTCTTGTGCTTACTTCCCTGATATAAATCTCTATAAGACCTTGTAGTGGTTTTGATATTGGGCCCCATCATGTAAAAGTTATACACCCATACCATAAGGTTGATCTACTTCTTCCTTCTACTTTACCCTGTTCCATGAAAACTAAACTGAAAATATATTATGCATACAAGACAACATGCAATTAGCGTGACACATGTACAAAATGCTCTTATGCACACTAATGTGGTCCCAATATTGGCGTAGAATAAACTATGCCACTAAACAGAAGTATTACAATGTCATTCATAGCAGGTAGCGCAGGCTAAACGTTTCAGTGGCATGACCTTATGTAATATTCAATTAAGGCAGCTGTATTCAGAAAACATAACATGGCACTTACTAGAGATGAATTAAGGGAGCGATAAGTAGGGGCAAGGTAGTACCCCTCCCCACCCCCCCCCATCCCTTCTATTGACATTTATGAGGACTGCAATGGGCATAGAGAAGATACCACATCCGCTTTTCTTTACTGGCTTGGCGTAGCTTATCAGACATCAACTGCTCACAAGTGCATCCTCCTTTTTGCCCAACTGGGCTATCCTTCTGGTTTATTGTCGTGGAATGAAGGATGTAGTTGGTCCCTCTGAACACCCATCAGACACAAGGCTCTTACCTAGCTTGCCTTGTGGATGATTTGGCTTTAGCTCTCTCATCAACCCTTTATTTTAACAACAAGGAGCCTGACATTTGTGCTCTAGTGTCTATGAAAGTGCAGATAAGCCAGGAAGAATTCATTGCATATACCGTATTTGCCGGCGTATAAGACGGGGTTTGAGACCCAAAAAAATCGCCCGAAAATCGGGGGTCGTCTTATACGCTCAGCCGTCTTATACGCCGGGTATACTTCGGTATACTGTATGTAGCCGAAGCTACATACAGTATACCGAAGTATACCCGGCGTATAAGACGACCCCCCACTTTTTGTGTAAAAATATAGGTTTTGGGCGATACCCGTCGTATAAGACGAGTATAGCCCAAAACTATGTTTAAATGCACTTACTAACCTCCTTGGCGGTATTCCCGAGTGTGGCTCGGGGTTAATTTTCAGTACCATAAGTGTTAACCCCGAGCCACACTCGGGAATACCGCCAAGGAGGTTAGTAAGTGCATTTAAACATAGTTTTGGGCTATACTCGTCTTATACGACGGGTATCGCCCAAAACCTATATTTTTACACAAAAAGTGGGGGGTCGTCTTATACGCTCAGCCGTCTTATACGCCGGCAAATACGGTATATTAATATAAAATTCAGACTTTCTAATGATTATTTTTGTTCTTGTGCATAGTCACCCTTATCCTTGTTTCGTTATGCAGCAAGTGGCTAGTCTAGAACAAGCATGCAACCAGTGTCATGTACTTGGTTTTTAGGTTAGTGACTGACCAAGTAATTATGAATGGCTGAGGACGGAAGCCCCAACATTTTCACCTTCAATAATAATAGTTTTGTGAAAAAAGAAAAATAGTTGGGATGAAAGATTATATCACCTCTGCATGGGAGTTCCAGATTTGTAGTCAATGTCCAAGACGATCGCCTCTGGATTACTAGGCAGGTAACATCCTACAAATAGAAGCAAATAAAAATCATGTAGCACAAAAATGTGAGGAACCTTTTAATAAGTGCATCAAAGAAAGTAAGACCCAGACAGTCATCAAACATTTTTCGTCTGACTATAGTAAAATGCTAAAACTTTATTGTATTTTCTGTAGAGTATGGAGGGGTAAGAGCCTTTGTTCAGTTTTTATTGATGTCTGCATCTCTATTGGGAAGATAACCCCTCACTGGAAGTTACGAAGTGATTAAAAAACAAAAACAAAAAAAACAACAAATTTTAGTAGAGTGTTGAAGGGTTAGAACATCTGACAACATTACAAAAATGGTCTTAGTCTTCCCGCCTCAGGGACAACTATTCCACCCGTTCCTTGTATGGGCAATATGGAGAGAGGAAATCTCTTCAATGCAGACACTGATTGCAATAAAACCTGACAAAGATTCCATGTCTTTACTCCACCCTGTCCAAAAAAAAATATATAGATTGGCTTTAAAAAGGATCACTGACGTTTGCCATGGGCACCAAGAAATAAGTATAAATATAATGGAATCAGTAATGCATGCAGCTAGCAGCAGTTTTGAATACTGATAAGCTTATTCAATAGGGCAGTGCAAAGACAATTGGCCCTTATTAAAGATGAGAGTGGTATCCACTCTATACAGATTATCTCATTACTATGCACTACATCTGCATTTTACATTTTATTCATATAACGCAGAGCGCAACCTTCCACTGGGAGCATTTAGAGCATGAGCTCTAAATGCTCTGTTGGTAAAGGATCATCCTGAACAGATCCTTTCTCATGTCCTTAGCCCAGTTAACTAAGCTGCAAGGCAGGGCCTGCCAAGGGGAACAAGGTTTAAGAAAGGGCCTTCAATTGCTTGCCATGTGGTCCTTTAAGCACAGGTGCATCCTCTACAGGGATTCTCCATGTTTTGCTAAGCTGGTATACTGGTGGATCCACAGCCCGTGCATTCCAATTTTTCACAAATTTCACTAAATTTTTCCTCAAAAGGTAGAGGGCTGCCAGCCCTTTCACAGGAGTGAACAGCCCACCAGTGTTCTTCCAGTCTCCAAAAACAGCAAATGAAAATAGCAGGTGCACTGGAAAGGTCTGGACAACCCTAGGGCCTAGATTGGAGACAGCACAGGTAGAAGCTGCAGGCTAATCCTCAAGCGTTAAAGTGGTGCTGACCACTAGGAGCCAAGAATGTCTGTTAATTCTTCGACAAATGGCAGAGTCTGTGACTCCTTAGGTGTAATAACATCCGTTAAGAACATAAGGTACTCTGTGTTAGGCAGAGTCTTGGTGGCCGAAGGTTTAGATCCTGCTAATGCAGTAGGCAGATCTTATAGGAATTCTGCAGGGGGGAAGGATGGAAGTATGCTTATGTACTCTGTAGTCAGAGTCAGCAATGAGGGTTGCAATTTGGCCCATAAAATCTTGCATAACTGCAGTTACATTTTATTGGGATATGCCTCCCAGAGCTTGGGAAGACTCCGAAGATGGCAAAGATTAAAGTAAAGGGCAAAATACAAGGCTGTCATTGTCAGGCTCTTCAGTGTGTGCACTGCAGGCAGTACCAGAACCATTAGTGGATTTGGATTTTGAACTGGAGCCACCCATTACTGCAGGACTGTTACCCATGTGTCTAGGATCCAACATGCACTGTAAGGCAGGGGCAACATAGCTCAGGGTACAAGGCCTTGAAGACTCAGGAACTAACCGCTGGTAGCAGAAGTGGTTTAGGCGGATGGAGGCGACAGGCACTAAAGGTGGGCAGCAGAGACCACCCAGGATAGATCCACATGCCACTTGACGTCAGGAGCAGCAGTGGGAAGATACTTAACGTTTAATGACGAGAAAAAGTGCAGCCCGCATACGTGCAACCTTCCACTCAGTAGTCAGCGCTTAGTCACCCTACGATAGCTCCTTCAGTGGAACACTGACTGAAATCAGGGATTACAAAGGGAACCCAAACTGCCTAGTAAGGAGGTAGCACCCAATGCCTGGTCCACATGACCTACTCGCAAGGGGTGTCAGACCTGGGCTGTGCCACAGCTCAGGTCCTTTAAAGCACTTTGCAGGTAACACAGTACACTCAGGTCTGCAAAACACCACAATTCAGAGCCCAAAAATCGGATTCATGGATAGCCTAGCAATCTCCCAGCCATGTGGGGTCTGGGTACTGCCTCCAGAGCTAGTGCTGAGGAAATGCTGATCCAGATAGCTGCATATATAGACCGGCTGTAGTAGCTTGTAAAAGGGAATCTTGTTTTTTTAAAAAGCTAGCAAAAAATATTAGATTTTTCTCAGCAGAACAGAGAAAAGGTGTTCATCCTCCTGAACACTAACAAAACAACGAAGGAATGCTGGGAGTATGAGGGGTTATATCACACCAACACGGTTTGTTTTTTTCCCAGAGTCCAAATCCTTCTGTACATGCAGTATAACCCAACAGCCTATAAGTTAGATGTCCTTCAATAAATGCTAAAGAAGATCAAATCCACTGTATTTCAAGGTGCTGGACTCAAGCTAATGTGAAAAAGACACATGTAAAAAATAAAATAGACTATAAAACTCATGTATGAGTACCACATTCATGGAAATAGAAGCATCAACAACACGGAATGCCCTTATGCTAGCTAGGTGCATTCTGGGCCCTTATGGCCCCAGAATGCACCTAGCTAGTTTTCCATTAGCAGTCTGGCTGAAATGTTTACAGAAGGCTAGAATCATTTTTTTTCTTTGTTGTCCTTTGTCAAGTCACATTACTTTATGGTACATAATCAGACATCATCAACACAATAGACCCAAACCTTACCTGGCTGGACTTTCACTTCAGACAGTGCACTCAGACAAGCCTTCTTTCGCTCATCTCCTTTAGGAAAGGGCCTGGCAAGTAAAATATTAACATTATATAGAATAAGTCTGACACCTTAATAGTTTAGATGTGCAAAATATAAAATTAAGAGAAGACAACTTGTAGCACGACAGCTGCTGCAGACTACACCTCCTAGCTTGCACCATGTGGCTTCAGCTGCCAAGTCATACTGGGGTCTTTAGCTCCGAATAGCTGGGGAATTACAGGCCAACTCCTTCCAGGTCATAAACAGATAGGGAAATCTTTAAGTTTAGTCCCCAGGGTTCCATACTGTACAAGTAATTAGCCAACTTTTGCCAAATTAAAACCGTTTTGTGCCTGAATGCACTTCATTTATCTAATGAGTCTGGAGGGAAAGGATAATCTGCTACCCCCTTGTGCCAGGTTTTCCTGCACACTTCTGAAGTAGTAATGACAGTAATTAGACGTAATGCCAGGTTTTTCAGACATAAGGGAGAATGTGCGGTGGGATTTCTTATGCATGAAAATATCAGCTACTATTGGGCTTTCCAACTTTCATCAGGTAGACTTGTACGGTGAACATATACCAATTGACATTAGTTAAACTTTCATACTATGGCAAAAAAAAGTGCACAATAGGCAAGTAAACTTGTAATAAAATCAGAAAAAGATTCAAGGAGAACTATGGAAGTGAGTGAAAATCGCTCATCCTCATGGTTCGAGCCAACGTGTGACAATGAAACATTCACAGGTCGGCTCAATAGATCGGGATGCGAGCGAACACATACCGTCACTCGCTCACTTCTCAATCATCTCCCTGTAGAGAGCAGTGACTGTCAGTCACTGCTCCCCGCAGGGATTCCCCCTCTCAGATCCTCCAGCGCTGACTGGGGGGGTCGGGCACAGGTGATAGGCAGAGCCAGCTCTCATTCACACAGTTGAGTGGATCTCGACAGCATTGTCTGGATCTGTCCCGACTGCAGCGGTCTCCGTATACCGCGAGCTGTAGCTTGTGATATATACTGAGCTTTGGGTCACTGGAGGAGGTTATTATATGTTCTCCCGTGACTTCTTAAGAGAACTATGGGGAAAAACACTTACCCCATAGTTCTCTTTTAACTTATGGTCTGATTTATAAAGAACAATGACCACAGCCATACCAGGTGGCTTTTGTAAAGGAAAAAAAAAAAAAGGTAATAAAATAGGCCTTCAATCCTGGAGTGTTACCTGCAGTGTCATATTTAGAACAATCTGAAGGGCACCACCGGCTTCACATCGCGCTCTGCCTTTTATAAATGAAACATACAAAGCAGGCAGGCATAGTGTGGGGTAGTTCATTGTGATGTCCTAGAGCGAGTTGTATCCACTCTGCATATCGGTTCCCTAAGTCTTTCTTTTTCTCTACACACAGACACACACTATAAGGCAACCTATTTAACACACTGCAATATTTTGGAACAGATGCATTTTTTTTTCTTAAAAAAAAAAAAAGATAGGATTTTGGTACTCACCGTAAAATCCTTTTCTCTCTGT